CATCCACCCTCCCATTACAGCTACCTTCCAGGGTTTAAAGATGGGGATCAAATCCTAAATATATTCATTTTTTCAAAATTTTTTTATTGAGAGCTTATTTTCCCCCATGTTGTTCTAAGTGCTGGAGATACAAAACTGAACAAAATTCCCAGTGTTTGTAGAGCTTACATTCTAGTAGGAGGAGACAAATAATAAACTTGATAAGTAAAATGTTTAATGTGTTAAAGGGTGATAAGTGCTAAGAAGAAAAATAAGGCAGAGAAGGGGGCTGGGGACTGTCAGGGTGAAAGGGGTTGCAGCTTTGGAGAGGGTGGCCAGGGAAGGTCATCCCTGAGATGACAACATCTGAGTAAAAATGTGAGGAGGTAAGGGAGTGAGACTACTGATATGTGGAGGAACAGTACTCCAGGAGGAGGGAACAGCAAGTACAAAGCCCCTGAGAGGGAAGCAAGTTCAGTATATTCAAGGAGGCAGAATAAGTAGAGATTAGGAGGAGGTACAGCCAGTGGGGTAACATAAATTCAACTGTCAGGGCCTGGAAGCCTATGGGAGGACCATATTATAAAGTTTTTTCTATCCTAAAATCCATTTTCATCGATGTCATTTTTTAGATTACTTAGTACTCTTTTAAAGTATAGTCAAGCTCTTCTGCATTACATAGATATAAAATTCCTCCCCATACCGCTGGAAGGATAAATAAAAAATTGGTAACAGTGATTATACCTAGGTGGGAGAACTGGATAGCTGGAGAACAAGAGGAAGGAACAAGACTTTTTGTACCTTTCAAATCTCGTACCATGTCTATGTATTATCTAGTCAAAAATAAATAAATAAATAATAAATAAATAAATAATAAATAAATAATAAATAAAACAAATTGTCCTCACCTTTCTAGGGTCAACCTGTCTGAGTAAAGAATTTTCTCTTCTGAAGAACGTTGGAGAATGGGAAATGATGGCATTGATGAGCTCACCAAATTAATATGATCACCTATTGAAAATGATACACAAATTACTTGATTAAGAAAATACCTTCAAAAAAATCTTAAAACTAAAGTCACCTTATATTTGGAGAACTTTGGCACTTACAAATACCTTTTCTAGAAACTATAGTTTTCATAGCTCTCCATATTTGAAATTAATTACTAAATTTGAGTTTGTTTGTTTCTTTCCTCCTCAAACCTAAACTATATGTTCTGTGTATGCAAAATAATTTTTCCCTTGCTTTATAGATTGGTTGAAAGTACAGAACTACTCTGGTGCTATCTTTACCCCTTTATAATGCTGACGCCTAATAGTAAATTTTAACACTCTTGTAGCTGAGACGATAGTCCCTCATTACCAGATACATTGGGGCCAGCACTATGACAGCCCTGCCGGATTCTGGACTTTGAAGGTGTCTGAATGGAAGAATCTCCAAATCCTGATAAAGAGCTCATGGTAGTTTTCATGTCCAGCCCACATAATTCTGTCACGTTTGTGGTGGATGAGATGCATGCTGATTTATTACGAGGCGAAGGGCTTATTACTCTTCCATCTCCTTCAAAATATCAAAAAGTTTATCACAAAGCTACATAATACATGACTTTGCTACAGGAAATACAGACAGTAGTTTTGGATAGCAAATGCAAACCTCACATCACCACTTTTTTATTTTGTACGCTTAGCTACTTTTAATAGAGAATATTGTAGAACCAAAGTGGATGTCAATAAAACTTATATACTTATAGTGAGGGTACACAGGGTGTATGACACCCCATTAAGTTTATAAGCTGTTGGTTAGATGTTGTCCTTGCCAATTAGGTATCTTTCATTCTACCGGGCAAACACATATGAAATTAACAAATTATATAGAAGAACATGCTGAAAATGCAGAATAAAAAGCATACCTAATAATACATTCACACATAAATGTGTCTGGTTATTTTTCATTTAAAGAAGGTGGTTACAGATGAGTTTGGGGGGAAGTGTATATTAAGATATATTCTCTATACCTAAAATAATATAGAACTGTCAAGAAGAGATGCTGGGAAGTTTCAGAAATGAGGTAAGATTTGAGTAATGAGTCAAAGGTAACACTTTGAGGAGTTCTACTGTATTTTCTTGTATAAAGACAAAATTTCCTGAAAGCAGCAACTGATGTTGAGAGGAGAGATAAGCAGTAAAATAAAACCAAGGGTTACCACAAAATTCTGCAGCTTAAACTGACCAATAAGGAGATAAAAACAAAATCAAATGTAGGAAGTCTAGATACTCTTTGGAAGACCATCAGACAATATGATGGAAACTTAAAATCAAGTTCCATATAGATCATATTAAAGAGCTAGAAAGCAATGGTATTTGCTAGCTTCTCCAGGTATGCAAAGTAGAAACCAAAGAATCACACACATAGCTTCTTGAACAAAATAATCAGTGCTCATACCTGAACTTTTTGCCAACAATTCATGGCTCTTGCATCATACAAGGGAGCTCCCATAACATTGTCACTTGATTTCTCAACAGAAACTTTGCAGGTAAGAAGGGATTGGCAAGAAATATTTAAAGTGATAAAAAGCAAGGATCTACAACCAAGACTACTTTACCCAGCAAGCCTATCATTTAAAATTGAAGGACAGATAAAGAGCTTCCCAGACAAAAGAAAGCAATCTTGAGAAAGAAGCACAAAACTGAAGGCATAGTGCTACCTGATATCTAACTATATAATAAGGCTATAGTTATCAAAACAGCATGGTACTAGGCTGGCCAAGTGGCTCGTTGGTTAAGAATCGGCGTGGGGACTGGCCGAGTGGCACGTTGGTTAAGAGTTGGCTTGGGACGCCAGCTCTGAGCAGCAGGACCCTGGTTCAGATCCCACATGCAGGCCAGTGGCGCTGCACCCTCTACAGCTAAGATGGTGAACAACAGCTTGACCTGGAGCTGGGCTGCTCTGAGTCGCCTGCGATGGCATAGGCTGCATGGGGCTGGCTGGCAGCTGGTGTGCGCTTTCATGAGCCACCGTGAGCGGCCGTCCAGTGGCCGGTGAGTGACTGCCTCACCCGGGAAGGGCGCAATGATAATCCAACATGGGCCAATGAAGCAACGTCCTCCACAACTAGACTGAAGAACAAAAAGGACAGCAACTTATCTGTTCCCCTTCCCCGATTCCTCAATGCAGTTCCCCTCCCCTAATTCCCCAATAAAATCTTTAAAAAAAAAATAGCTGGCTTGGGAGCGCAAGCTCTGAGCAGCAGGGCCGCTGGTTCAAATCCCACATGGGCCAGTAATGCTGCGCCCTCTAAAGCTAAGATAGTGAACAATAGCTCGACCTGGAGCTGGGCTGCTGTGAGTTGCCAGTGACGGTGTAGGCTGCAATGGGACTGCAATGGGCTACCATGAGCTGCCATGAGCAGCTGTCCAATGGCTGGCAACCAATCTGCCTCAGCCAGGAAGAGTGCAATGATTACAATACCAACATGGGCCAGTGAAGTCACATCCTCCACAATGAAATTGAAGAACCAAAGGACAGCAGCTTGTCTGTTCTCTTTCCCCGATTCCCCAATGCTGTTCCCCCCATCAATTCTCCAATAATAAAAACAAAAATCTAAAAAAAACCAGCATAGTACTGGCATAAAAACAGACACACATAGATCAACGGAGTAGCCCAGAATATAGAAAGCCCAGAAATAAACCCACGTCTATGTAGTCATTTAATTTATGACAAAGGAGGCAAAAATATACAGTGAGGTAAACACAGTCTATTCAATAAATGATGCTGAGAAAGCTGGACATATACATGCAAAAAAAATGAAAATGGAGCACCTTCTTACACCATATATAAAAATAAACTCAAAAATGCATTATAAACTTAAATGTAAGACCCAAAACCATAAAACGCCTAGAAGAAAACACAGGCCGTAAACTCTCTGACATTGCTCTTAGTAATATTTTTTTGATCTACCTCTTCGGGCAAGGGAAACAAAAGAAAAAAATAAACAAATGGGACTACATCAAACTAAAAAGCTTTTGCACAGCAAAGGAAATCACCAAGATCATGAAAAGGCAGCCTACTGAATATTGCCAGTAATACATCTTATAAGAGGGTAATACCCAAAATTTATAAAAAGCTCATACAACTCAACACCAAAAAAACAAATAATCCAATTACCAAATGGGAGGACATGAATAGACATTTCTCCAAAGAGGACATACACATGGCCAACAGCAATATGAAAAGATGCTCGAGGTCACTCACCTTCAAAGAAATGCAAATTAAAACCACAATGATATATCACCTTACACCTACCAGAATGGCCATCATGAATAAATCAACAAACAGCAAGTGTTGACGAGGATGTGAAGAAAAGGGAATCCTCATGCACTGTTGGTGAGATTGCAAATTGGTGCAGCCACTATGGAAAACAGTCTGGAGGTTCCTCAAAAATTAAAAATAGAACTACTTTCTGACCCAGCAACTCCACTTTTGAGTAATTATCCGAAGAAATCCAAAACACTAATTTGAAAAGATATATGTACCCCTATATTCATTGCAGCACTATTTACAATAGCCAAGATATGGAAGCGCTCAAGTGCCCATCAATAGATGATTGGATAAAGTAATTGTGGTACATATATACAATGGAATATTACTCTGCCATAAAAAAGAATGAAATCTTGCTATTTGTGACAACATGGATGGACCTGGAGGGTATTATGCTAAGTGAAATAAGTCAGACTGAGAAAACAAATACCATGTGCTCTCACTTATATGTGGAATCTAAAGAACAAAATAAACAAACAAAACAGAAACAGACTCATAGATACAGAGAACAAACTGATGGTTGCCATAGGGGAGAGGGGTTGGGAAGCTGGGTGAAAAAGGTGAAGGGATTAAGAAATACATTTGGTAGTTACAAAATAGTCACAGGATGTAAAGTACAGTATAGAGAATATAGTTCATAATGTTGCAACAACTATGTATAGTGCCAGGTTGGTACTAGACTAATAGGGGAATCACTGTATAAATTATATAAAATTATATAAATGTCTAACCACTATGCAGTACACCTGAAGCTAATATAAAATACTACTGATTGTCAAGTGTACCTGAATAATTATTTAATTAACTAAATATAAAAATATATTTATCTAGCCAGGCATCCACAAATCAACTTCCTCCTCTAATTTGAGAATAACTAGGGAAAAGTATTTAAGTTTGAGTCATAATTTAGAAAACAAATATAAGATATTGCTATCAAAAATGTGAAGGAAATTCACAATGAGAACAGAAAAATCCTACTTGAGAACTTTCAGGTTCACATCTGTAACTCTGTGCCTAATACAGATAGTACACACTCAATAAATATGCATTCACCTGAACCATAGAAGATGAGAGATGTTTCCTGCACTGCAGAACTGTGGTTTGGTTGATGTCCTGTCTAGCAACTGGCCAAGACAAGAGTGTAGGATAGGGGAAAGAGAAAAATTATGTCAGATTCGACGCGCCCAAAAGGAAGGTCTAGAAGTAACAAAAGAAAACAGGAACCCTAATATTCAAAATGGCCACATGTTCATGCAGTACAGAGATGAACAAAGTAGAGAGGCCTATACTGATCAGCCCTCTCATACAAACTCCTAGGAGGTGGGGATGGTGCTGCATGTAAGGATGCTGTAGGGCTTAACACTAGCACATTACAGATAGCTAACAGTTGTTAGCAACCAATGAACAACTCAAATGTACTACAAGAAAATTTTCCTTAAATTGGAAACGACATTTCAGAAATATAATCAGATCAGATTAAGGCAGTGTTTTTCAAAGAGTGGTCCACACACCACAATCATCGCAATCACTTGAGATGTTATTAAAATGCACGTTTCCAAATTCCACCCAAGACCTACAAAATCAGAATGAGGAAGGGGACAAGGGCAAGAAAAACACTGAGAATCTGCATTTCTAACAAGATCTTGGGTGATGTACTCTGAAGTTTAAGGCCTTTGATAAAAAATATCTATAATTATATGTGTTAGTAAGAGAAAGAAACTGTTTCCTTTCCACTCCTAACTTTCCACTATTTCCTTATTTCATAAAAATCTCTGTTCCCATACTCTTACCTTCACTAATTAGCCATTTTCCTAGTTTTAATACAGTATTTGGAAGATTCTTTCCCATTCTCTTATACATAGCCCACTCCTGAACTAAAATACATCTTTTTCTTTATTGGAAATAATCTACTTACGAGGTATATAAAATCAGTTTTGATTTAAACAAATATGAAACCAATTTGGCAACCAATTAACCATTTCATTTTTAATTCAAGTCTATTTGGATCTAGAAATTCAATATCATTAAACAATATTACTCAAAGCAAATAAACCATATATATTCTCTATTCACTAACAATACCTTGCCTACTTGAGTAGTTTCTTTCAAGGTCATGTTGTAAGAGTCGACCAGGGAATGATGGTGTTTCTTTATTTAGCCTGAATTCAACCTAAAAAAAAATTATTTAAGAAAAAAATATTTGGATAAGATTTAACAATAAGTAATGAAGATAATGATAAACTAACATACAATAACTGACACATGCTACAACACACAGATGAACCTGAAAACATCATGCTAAGTGAAAGAGTCCAGACACAAAATGCCACTTATTACATAATTCCATTTATGAACTACTAAGAATACGAAAATCTATAAAGATAGAAAGTAGATTTGTGGCTTTCAGTAGGGTAGAGTAGGGGGTATGGGGCGTGACTACTTAATGGGTACAGGGACTCGCTTTTGGGTGATAAAAGTTCTGGAGCTAGATAATGGTGATGGTTGCACAACATTGAGAATGTATTTAATACCATTGACTCATACAATTTAAAATGATTAAAATTTTACATTATATGTATTTTGACATACACACACAGACACACACACACACACACAATCAGAGTCAATTTCATAAGGTCGATGAAACTACATTCCAATCTGAGGCACTTCCAATTCCTCCATACCCTCACCACAAATACAATGATTAAAAGAATCATTTTCTCAAAAACAAAAGCTAAAAACATACAATAAAAACTAAATTTTGTTGAAAAAAATCACAATGTTTTTATCTTTAGAATTCCTTTACAAGTCCAATTATAACATAATAAAATAGTATGTCTAAACCTTTTAAGAAGGAATTTCTCTAAATTGATTTTAAATTATTTGCTAGAGCTAAAAACACAAAATCAAACACCTTCTCATGATCAGCCACAAAAAAACCCTAAATATGTATTTTAAAAGAATTATGATGCTTCTGATTCACCCATACTATAAATATTATAAAAGCATTTGTATTATCTCCTAGCTAAAGGTATTTTCTCAGATCATATGTTCACATAAGAGAAAATGAATTGTTTGGAAAGAATTTGGATGCAGTATATTGTTCTTAGAAACACATTATAATGGTAGCATAGGATTGTCCAGTGAAATTAATTAGCAAAGCTTTGGGGGAAATTCATTGTGTTCAATTATAATAGAGAATATTTTCAATTAATCTAGCTAACTGCTATTTATTCAAATGATCAAATGGTCTAGTTTCCAAGTGTTCATTTTTATACACAGAATGTAATGAACTGCCGCCTCCTTGACTAATGGTGTCCTTCCATCCACCCTTCTCATGCCCCTCCTTACTCTCCTTATGCTGTTATCTGTAAGCTCTGCACTTTGCTTTAGAGTTCCTCCAATGTCATCTATTTAACATTTTCTTTAGGAAAAATAAAAAGCTGAATTGTGATGGCTGGGGATGTACTACTTGATCAAAGGAGAAAAATTATATCGTGTCTTGGGACATAATTTTGTGGGAGGTGGGTATGTTTGAGTGCTGAGGTGAGAAAGAAGGGAAAGAAAAACACGTGTATCTCAAAAATCAAACAAAAAGCCAGAAATTATGAAATATCAGAGATATTATGGGCAAATCGTTAGGGAATAAAAAATTTCATGTTCATATCTTAACTTCTAAACAGCAATAAGCCTAATATATTTCCACAGCTCATCTATTTTTCTCCCCTGGTCTTAAATGGAGTATATAAATATGTCCCCCCAAATTATCACATTTTACCCATTATAAGATTCCATCAGTAGTAAGAATACCATCATTTTACCCAGTACTAAGAAAGAAAAATCTATCCCAATTAAGCTATAATGTGCCATCAATTTTAAGAATGATCCTGATTCAAAAAATGTTTAAATGTCAGAAAAAATAACCTTACCTCCTCCAACTGGTGAATGAAATAAGATTCAGTTTTTAAAAGAGGTTTTTTGGCTTTATGTAGGCAGAAAATAAAAACTAGGTTCAGATTGGAGACCAAAATAAGTATACTTAAAATTTCCAGTTCAGACTCTACTCTTTAAATCATGTTGCTATTTCTTACTTTGTTTTTTTCAGGAAGAGATGATGTTTGAATAACCAGATGAAGCCCACAGTTCACCTGAAATGTAAAAATTAAATCATAAAATATGTTCTTAACTTACACGTACGCGCGCTCATGAGCGCGCGTGCACACACACACACACACACACACACACACACACACACACACCCCTACTCCTCCCCAAAATAGTACAAATAAAGACATAACAAAAAAAAATTTTAATAAAACAGGATGCTTGCTTTTTGTTTGTTTCTGGTATATGATCATGTTCTGAGTATTTGCTGAAAACAATTAAATCACAACTAAGAATTAAAAGGTTTCACTGTGATATATTTTCCAGAATGTTTGCAGCAATTTAACCCTCTACTTAGCATCTCAGGATTTTGCCACTTGCCATTTCAGGCCTAAGTGAATATTTCAATGGAACAGAAAAAGGAGATGAGAGTGTCCGTGAATAATAAATTTTCTTAATTGAAAAAAAAGAAAAGGAATCGATTGGCTAAAGGAATTTAAATGAACCTTAGCCTTTCACAGCCGACCAGCTCCACCTTCTGGGAAAACCAGATCTGGGATAAGATTTTCAATGCGCATCACACAATATTAAAACCCTTCCAAGCGCCTTGGTCCATACCACAAATCTCAAGCCTCCATCAGACAATAGCTTAAGTAGACTCAGCGGTCCTGGTCCCAATAATACATCACCTAAGACAAAGACGCCAGACAGAAAGGACGATACGAATAGAAAGAAAGGGAAAGCAGAAGATCCAACCTACATTGTTCGTAGTCCGGCCAGAAACAGAGCGGTATTTCCCGGGAATCATGGCAGGAGACAGTCCAAGATCTGTTAGATAGATCTGCCTTAGAAATGACGCTACAGCTAAGAATCAGAAACCAAAAGGGGTCATCTCCCAGGCAACCCGCTCAGAGATTACCATGGAAACAACCATTTCCGGTATGGTCTTCTCCCAAATCAACTGGCCGACACAGTCGTTAGAGCATCTGGTTATGTTTGGGGGCGGGAGGGGGGGAGAGCGCTCATAAAAACAGCGGGAGAAGAGGAAGGATAAGACAGGGAGGAAGCTGGCCATCTCGGTCACTATGACAACCACCACTTCCGGCCCGCGCCTCTTTACGGCCCACCTCAGCTAGGCCCGCGCGAAATTTGTATCCCGCTGCCCGCGGCTAACTGCTCTCGGAAAAGAAGTGCAGGGAGGAGGAAGATATCCACGAGCCGGGCACCCTCCCTTTTGGGGCCCCAGTTCGGCACTTACGGTGACCGGAGGTAGGGGAAGGAAACGGGCCCCACGCGGCGTCAGCAGGCGCGCGGAGGGCAGGGGACCCTTCGCTCCCCGGCACCAAAGGCCGCCACCTTGCCAGCCCGCTGCGTTAACACCGCTAAGCCTGGGCCGCTGTTCCGCTTCCCCCAGGACGCGGCCGAGCGGCTCCTGTGGCACCGCTTCGTGCGGCGGCGCCGCGCCGACCGGTACGGGGACAAGAACGGCTCGGTTATCTGTCCTGACCACTTCGCTCCGGTCTGCTTTGACGGCTCTTCCGTGGTCCAGAAGAACCTGTGCTGCTCCCAGCGCCTGAGGCTCAGGGCGGGTGCCGTTCCCACACTGCACCGTGTGTCCCCCTCGTCCCCTCACCTCCCCCAGCACCTACGGGGGCAGAGGAGGGAGACCAAGCGGGCGACCCTGAACAGGCAGGAGAGCCCCGGGCAGTCAGGCTTTCGGAAGCCACCCGCTTCCAGCTTCCTGTGCTTTCCTCCGCGCCGGGATAGGGCTGCGGCTTCACAGGTACAGGGGCACCCAGACGCCCGCCGAGGGTCGTGGAAGGACCTTGGGACTGTGGCTGGGCTCCTCCACTTAGTGTCACCTTGGGAAAGTCACCTCACCTCGAAGGTTTTCGTTGTCTTCTCTGTAAAATTAGGAGTGTGCTTTAAAGGTCGTCGCCAAGATCCTATTTAACATTAACACTTGGGAATTATAGTTCCTTTTACTTACTTCTCCCCCAAAACTCACGCAAGCACCACTATTGTCCAAGTTGTAAAGTCGCTTTCACCTCTGTTCCAGAGTTTTTAAATAGAGTTTTATCTGAGCAAATTTCAAGGAATGAGGTGCATGACAATGGTGGGAGGAGAGGGGGAGCTACTGATGAAGATGGGGCTTGCTGATAAACAATCCCTCCCACTCCTAAACTTCCTGTTGACTGCCACTAGCTGCCTTTAAGATAAATGACCCTAGTAAGCTGAGTTTCCGCCCATCTTGCCCTCATCTTTCTTTCTTTTTCCTGATAAGCATTGATTACACTTACTGTGCATCTGGTCTCTACTGTCGTCTTCCCCACTTCCCATCTTAAAGACCCCCCAGCCTTCTTTGAGATATGAAACTTCAGCCCTATGACTGTTAGGTAGATTAAATTATGACACTTAATTGGACCTAAAAGGGATTCATTTCTACAGATGGGAAGAGTTCACCAAAAAGTGACCTATATGTCAGATGGGTACTAGCCTTATTGGGGTGATCACTTCGTAAGTTATATAAATGTTTAATCACTATGTTGTACACCTGAAACTAATATAATATTGTATGTCAACTGTAATTTAAAAAAATGTTTTTTAATTTTCTAAGTGACCTGTAACTGGCATTTTGGCTTTGAATATATACAAGTATTCATATAATTTTAGGGCTGAAAGAAGCCTTAGTGCTTATCTAGCCCAAACTCACAATTTATGCACAAGGAAGCCATTCCTCCAGGCTAATAATTTCCTCAAAGGCCTATAATCCTTGCTCTAGGTCTGATTGCCAGACTGAAACTCTTCAATACGAACCAGCCTTCTATATTGGGGTGAGTGCTTAAGAACCTTTAATGGATCCTGCAATTACTAGGATAAAGAACAAAATTATTAACACAGTCCACGAGTCCCTGCGTGCTTTTTGTCCCTGCCTGCCGCACCAGTTCTATCCAAAGCCACTGTCCTTGTTGCTCCCTGTGCACCAGTCAGGCTGATCTTTCCAACTGAGACATATGATTCCCCAGAATCACGCCCCTCCCATTTCCCGCCATCATCAATTAAGTTCTGTTACGTAAAAACCAGCTCAAACATCCTTCCCCTTTGATTCCCTAATTATATATTCTCATTCTTTGTATGCCATATGGCTTGATAGCACATATACTTGAGTAGCACTCATCATGATTGTCATGAAATAGCTGTATCTTTTGCTTAATGTTTGTCCCTCACATTAGAATGTAAGCTCCATGAGAGCTGGGCTCATATCTGATTTGTTCATTATTGTATTGCCAGTACCTAGAACAACATCTTGCAAATTTAAGGAATTCAATAAATATTAATAGACTGATTCTGTGACTATAAGAACAATTTTTTGTACCATGATAGAATTTTTGGTTCTCTGCCAGTTTCCCTTCTCACCAAGCTATATGCCACTCAAGACATCTGTCCTTTCCTTGAACCATCTATCCACCATCACTACCTATCCACCCCTTTACCCAAGCACACGTATACATAGATAAGTATAAATATGTAGTAAAAGATAAGTATTAAACATGTCACACACTCATACACCATTTTTTCTTCCTCCTCATAATACCAACTAATCAAAATTGGGAGAAGAAAAACCAGGCTAATGGAACAACCAAAGATTGTATAGTACAACAAAGGCTGATTTGAAAAATCCAGAAGAGATATAAAATCTGTTTTCTAATTAGTAGTATATCCAGCCAACATTTCTAACAGTCCATATTACATTAATATACTTAACAGAGTTATTAGGAAACTATATGTATGGATTGTCATAATAGTTACTTTTTTTTTTTTAAAGATTTTTATTGGGGAATTGGGAGATGGGAACAGTGCTGGGGAATTGGGGGAAGGGGAACAGGTAAGCTGCTGTCCTTTTGTTCTTCAGTCTAGTTGTGGAGGACATTGCTTCACTGGCCCAAGTTGGCACCATCATTGCGCTCTTCCCGGGCGAGTGTCACTGGCCCTCATATGTGGGATCCGAACCGGGGCCCTCTGGCGTCCCAAGCCAGCTCTTAACCAACGTGCCACTCGGCCGGCCCCATAATAGTTACTTTTAACAGTATACAAGGTTAAAAAAAAAAAAGGTGTGTTTAGAGTTGATGGCAATAATTTTTAGCCTGGTCTGGATTGAGCACCTCAGTAACAAATTGCTAAGAATGTTTGCTTGTGCCACCTCTGGCTCCTTCCCCCACTCACTGCTTTTCTCCCCAATTCTAGGACCAACTGACTAAAAATCAAATTTCCAATCATTCTACATTTATTGTGCTATCGCAGGCACTGTTCTGGGTGCTTGGTGCTATATGTAGGTAAATATAAGTATGGTTCCCTGTTTTTGGGGCACTTGAGGAAAGATTAGGGCCACCTCTAAGGAAGAAAGGGGGCTCTGAGAGGCACTATATGCACTGTCTGATATTTTGCTTCATAAAGCTATGATTAATTTTCTTTAACTGTTAATTTTGCACCCTTGTTTTTTAATTTAACTATACTTTTTAACTGTTTAATTGAAATACACCAAATACAGAGGAAAGGGCACAATTCTAAAGTCATTAAATTATCACATACTGAATATGTATAACCACTACTTAGGTCAAAGAAATAGAACATTATTAGGAACCCAGGAGCCCGTAAATCACACCAGCCCCAGCCCCTCCCAATTCCTCAGAGGAACTAAGTTTGCCTTTTTTTGAACTTCATATAAGAATCATACTGGAGGCATTTCTTGTGTCTGGCTTCTTTGTTCAACATTATATTTGTGAGATTCAGTAATCCATTGTATGAATATACCAACTTTTTGTAACCTGTTCTACCATTGTACATTTGGGTTGTTGACATTTGGGGGCTATTATAAGTAATGTTGTTATAAGCATTTCTTATACTTGTATTTTTCATATGTGCACACATTTCTGATGGTATATACCTAGAATTGCTGGGACATAGTATTATGTTAAACTTTGTAAATAACACCAAATAGTTTTCTAAAATACGAGGTCAGACAATTAAGTTTGTGAACTCATCCTAGAAAAAGTGCTACATACCTCATTGCTGAATATCACTATGGTCACCTTCGAAGTACTCCCCTTGGGAAGCTATGCACTGACACCAGTGCCTAGTCCACCCTTCAAAGCAATTTTGGAACTCTTTTTCTGGAATGGCAATCAGAGATGTTGTTATATTACCCTTGATGTCCTGAATGTCATCAAAATGTCTTCCTTTCAATATTTTCTTTATCTATGGGTAAAGAAAGAAGTCATTGGGGCCAGATCAGGTGAGTAGGGAGAGTGTTCCAATACAGTGATTTGTTTGCTGGCTAAAAACTCCCTCACAGACAGTGCCATGTGAGCTGGTGCATTGTCATGCTACAAGAGCTATGAATTGTTGGCGAAAAGTTCAGATTGTCTAACTTTTCCATGAAGCCTTTTCAGCACTTCCAAATAGTAAACTTGGTTAATTGTTTGTCCAGTTGGTACAAATTCATAATGAATAACCCCTCTGATTTCAAAAAAAGGTTAGCCATATCATTGCAACAAGTTCACTAACTTAATTGTCAAACCTGGTACTTGTACCAGTTTACACTCTACCAGAGCATGTGCGAGTTTACGTTGTTCCATATACTTGTCTACACTTGGACTGTCAGTCACATTTAAGTTCTTTCGCAGGGTGTGTGGTGGTGGTTTACTTTCCATTTCCCATTTTGTAAATGAAATTAGTAAGGGAACACCTTTCCAAATGTTAATTGAGTGTTTGGACAGCCCATTTTCCTGTTGGATTGTTTTTTTTCTTGTTGATTTAAAGTTTTGTTTTGTGTGTTTGTTTTTTAAGTGGGATTTTTTTTAACTTTATTGGGGAACAGTATTTTTCTCAGGACCCATCAGCCCCAAGTCAAGTTCTTCATAAATTCTGACTTCAAGTCCTTTGTCAGTTAAATATATTTTAAATATCTTCTCCCGCTATGGCTTGCCTCTTCACCCTTAATAGTGTCTTGATGGACTGTAGTTCTTAATTTTAATGTAAGCCAACTTACCAGTCTTTTTCTGTCTGCTTAATGCTTAACGCATTCTACTATGCTGGTCTCTACAAATTTATTGTTTTTATTTTTACATTCAGATCTACAGCCTATTCAGATTTGATTTTTGTATATGAAGGAGGCAGAGTTTAAGTTTCCTCCATGTAGACTCACATCTTTTATTGAGAACACTAGCGTTTCCTAATTGCCCTGCATTGTCAACTTATTCGTAAATCAAGTTTCTATATGTGCATAAGCCTGTTTCCACATTTTTAAAAATTCTGTTCCATTTGTCTATTTGCCTGCCCTTGCACCATTATCACAATGCCTTAATTATGGTAGCTTATGCTAAGAATTAACCAATTGATTAATTGTTTGTCTTCATAGATGTCTTGGCTATTTGGGGCCCTTTGAATTTCCATATGTATTTTAGAATTGGTTCATCAATTTCTATAAATTATCTACTGGGAGTTTGATAGGGACTGCATTTAATTTATAAATGAAGGTGGGGAGAAAGGACATACTGACAATAATTCTTCCAATCTATGAATATAGTGTATCCTTCCATTTATTTGGATTTTTACATTTCCTTTAAAAACATTTTATGACATTCTGAGTAGAGATCTAGTCACCTTTCATTAGATTTTTTTCTATGTGATTTTGCTATTATAAATAGTATTTAAATTTTTACTTTAAGTTGATTTTTGTTGACCTGTATCCAGAAATCTCGTTAAAC